TTTTTACTTTTTAATGCACAAACTCACTTTATGTTTGTATAGTTTTCTATTTCATTATATTCTAAATTATTCACTAAATTTAATAATGTTGAATGTTATATTTATTACTAATTGAATAGAGTTACTTGATATATAAGAATATAATCAATTTTTAATTTAATGATATATTACAATACAAATGCTTGTTTTATTGAGTTAGATTTACACTCATTAAATTTTATAAGAGAATGATTTTTACAAAAAAAAAGTTTCAAGAAATTAACTTAAAATTTAATTCCTCAATTAACAATGTTAAACAGACAAATAATAGATAATATAATGGAAAGTACAAAACAATACCATGGAATAAAAAGAAAGGTTGAGGAGCCTTGTTTTGTATTTCATTATAAGACAAAAGAAACAGTTATTATTGAAAGTAATATAGATACATTCAATGTATTTATACAAGAGGGATTGTGGAATAACACTGATTTGATTCAATATGCATTTAAAGAATATGGAAATAAAAGAATTATTGAAGGAAAAAATTTAGAAAGAATTCTGAAAGTAATTTATAATTCATTTCCATTATTAGAGGAATTTATAGAGTATGTTAAAAGAAATAGATCATTTTTTTATCTTACAAAAGATGAATGGTATTCATTATATTACGAAAGGAATTTTGTATTGAATGATCAATATGTTAATGAAGATAAAATTATTTCATGTTTGTAATAATGTTAACATCAAATAAAAGAAAAGTAGTAACTAAATAGGGCCATTATTATTGGAAGAGTTTAGAGAAACAAGGAGAAAACAACAAGATATGGATTGTGATATATGATAAATAGAAGAATAATTGAAAATATATTTAAAAAAGATTTAGTTATAAATAACAAAAAAAAAGAAAAAAAAAAGAAGAAATAAGAGAAAAAAGAAGAAGAGAAGAATATAATCGAGAATCTTCGTCTTTAATAAGAATAAGATTCTACACTAATTAGAATATTTAAGTAAGAAATGAACTAAGAAAAGATTATCATTATATTATGTCATTAGAAGAACGATGTATTCAAAGTATTAGACTTCTTGCATGTGAAATGATTAATAAAGCTAAAAGTGGACATCCAGGAGTACCAACAGGATGTGCTAGTATTGCATATACATTATTTACAAAACATATGAAATTTGATGTAAAAGATCCAAAATGGATTTCAAGAGATAGATTTGTTCTTTCTATGGACATGGATCAACATTATTATATGTTATTAATCATTTATTAGGTA